ACTCATGTTGTTTGATGTTGGAAACATTGTATCCAGTCTCAGTTCTTCATCATAAATATAAAGTACAGACCTTTGGGACGCTGCCAGGTCCTCAGACTGTGCAGGAGTTCAGTGAGGCCCTGATCTGCGAGGACGCCCCCCAGGACACCATCCGTGTTCTCATTAGTGAAATTTTGGTAACGTGGACTGACTTGCGGGGTTGTTTAAGAATGTCATGTGATGGTGCCTTTAGGATAAACTGTAAACAGCATGTTTGTTCACTGAGCTCCGTCCTTGCACCGGTTTCTGTCTCCTCACCGTTTACTTCTCTTGCAGGGCTTCCAGCTGACTCACTCTCTGGGAGGGGGCACCGGCTCGGGGATGGGCACCCTGCTGATCAGCAAGATCCGGGAGGAGTACCCCGACCGGATCATGAACACCTTCAGCGTCATGCCCTCACCGAAGGTAGGACGAGGAAATTTTGTCCGTCTGTCCCACATTTCCCAACGTGTTCGTTCGGATCCTTCATAAACATAAACACCGACTCGCCTCTTCACCCGCCCGTCTGTCTTTGCTCCGTCAGGTGTCGGACACAGTGGTGGAGCCTTACAACGCCACCCTGTCGGTCCACCAGCTGGTAGAAAACACCGATGAGACCTACTGCATCGACAACGAGGCCCTTTACGACATCTGCTTCCGCACTCTTAAACTCACCACCCCCACCTACGGCGACCTCAACCACCTGGTGTCAGCCACCATGAGCGGCGTGACGACCTCGCTCCGTTTCCCCGGGCAGCTCAACGCAGATCTCCGCAAGCTGGCCGTGAACATGGTTCCTTTCCCCAGGCTGCACTTCTTCATGCCGGGGTTTGCTCCTCTGACAGCGCGGGGCAGCCAGCAGTATCGCGCGCTCACTGTTCCCGAGCTCACCCAGCAGATGTTTGACGCCAGGAACATGATGGCGGCTTGCGATCCTCGCCACGGACGCTATCTGACCGTGGCCACCGTCTTCCGGGGACCCATGTCCATGAAGGAGGTGGACGAGCAGATGCTGAATATCCAGAACAAGAACAGCAGCTACTTCGTGGAGTGGATCCCCAACAACGTGAAGGTGGCCGTCTGCGACATCGCTCCCCGAGGGCTAAAGATGGCCGCCACCTTCATCGGCAACAGCACCGCCATCCAGGAGCTGTTCAAGCGGATCTC